CTCTCAACAGATGCTTCTTTAATTCTTCTAACATTCTGTCCCTCTCCTCCAAGTAGTCCTCTACTGAAGTACTGCTACTCTCAAAGTGCACCAAGTGAGGTGGATCTCTTTCATTCAACACCTTGAATGTGGTCATCTGAGAAGCTGAATGATAAGAGGTGTTGTATCAGTACTCAGCCCATGATAGCCACTTGACCCAAAGCATCTAAGGTAGGTCTCCAAGCTCCTATTGACCACTTCTATTTGTCCATCTGTCTGTGGGTGATAGGCGGTTCTCTTCAGAATTGTCCCTTGCAATATGAACAATTCCCTCCAAAAATGACTAAGGAACACCTTAACTTTATATGATATTATCGCCTCTGGTACTCCATGCAATCTAACCACCTCTCGGATGTAAGTTGAAGCTACTGTCACCACTGTGTATGGGTGTCGGAGGGGGATGAAATGAGCATACTTACCCAATCGGTCAACCACCACCATAATCATTGTGAACCCTTCTGAACGAGGCAGCCTATCTATGAAGTCCACATATCTGGACAAGGCATCTGCTACCTTGTTCTCCACTCCTGACTTGTATTGGATCTCGAAATCATATCCCAACAATTTGGACATCCAACTCTTATACTCCTCAGTCACCATCAGCTACTCCAACAAGTACTTCAGACCCCTTTGATCGGTTATGATAATGAAATGCCCATCTAATATGTAGGGTCACCACTTTTTGATGGCTAAGACGATGGCCATCAACTCCCTCTCATTAGACTGATTTCAGCCTAGCTCTAGCTATCAACACCTGGTTTAAGTAGGCAATGGGTCGTTGATTCTGCATGAGTACTGCCCCCAGTCCGTTTGTAACCTGAAGCATCTATCTCCACTATAAATGCCCGAGTGAAGTCTGGTAAAGCTAAAACTGGTTTAGTATTCATTTTCTTTAGTATCTCAAACGCTATTGTGGTTGCCTCCCCCCATAAGAACCCATCTTTCTTCAGCTGCTCTGTCAGTGGCCATGCTATAGTGTTGTACCTTTTTACAAACCTCTTGTAGTACCCTGTCAGTCCTAAGAGTCCTCTGAACTCCTTCAGATTCTTAGGTAAGGGCCACCTTAGTATAGCCTCAATCTTTGATCCGCTGCCACACCTTCTTTGGACACAATTTATCCCAAATATTCCACACTGATCTAGACTAAATAGCATTTCTTTATGTTGGCCTTCAGCTAATGCTTCTGTAGAACTCCGAAGACCATCTTCAAGTGCTCCAGATGTTCTTCCTCAGTTTTGTTGTACACCAGTATATCATCAAAAAACACCAAAACAAACTTCTGGAGGTACTGCCTGAATAACCAAAAACTCATAATGCCCTTCGTGTGTCCTGAAAGCTGTCTTGGAGATTTCTGTCTCCCCCATTCTAATCTGGTGGTACCCATACTTCAAATCCAGTTTGGAGAACATCACTGCCCCATTCAGTTCATCCAAGATCTCATCAATCACAGGAATAAGGAACCTATTCGGTACTGTCTCTTTGTTTAAAGCTCTATATTCCACACAAAATCGCTAACTCCAATCCTTCTTCTTGACTAGAAGGAATAAACTAGAGAAGGGATTCACACTCGGCATGATGATCTCCACCTCCATCATCTCCCAGATCAGTTTCTCAATCTCATCCTTCTGAAATTGATGATATTGATAGGGCCTGACGCTGATGGATGACACATCTTCCCTCAAGGCGATGGCGTGCTCCTGCTCCCTTAATGGTGGCAATCCCTGAAGTGGTTGAAACACCTCCTACAATTGTTGAATCAACGACTATATGAAGAGGGATATGTCACCCCCTCCTCCAATCTAGCTCCCTCCAAACTATGCAGCTCTATCAAATATCCTCCACCCAACACATGTATACTCCTTATCATGGTTTTAAGAAAAAAAACATATATTTGGATAGCCCTGCATCTCTCCTTATCACCATATTCCTCCCATCAACCATCAGCTCCATAGTGAGTGCTCCCCAATTAACCTTGGTATCTCCCAAAGTCTGCAGCCACTTTATCTGCAAGATGACATCTATACTCCCTAACTCCAGTGGATGAAAATCTTCCCTCACATGAATCTCCTGAATAGTCAGTAGCACTCATCTACAGATCTCATGGCCTTTCTCCACCTTTCTCATACCCATCATCACCCTATAACAATAAATATCTACCAATTTCACTCTCAATTGGTCGAAGACCTGAGTGGAAATGAAATTGTGGGTAATCCCACTATCAATCAGCACCACCATCTCCCTGTCCTTTATCTCCCCATTTACCTTCATAGTGTGATTTGTAGTGAATCCGACCACCGATTTCAGGGAAACCTCGACCAAATCCAAATATAGCTTCTCCTCAATCTCCTCTTCTAACTCTCGCTCACCTCTCTCCTCAGTTTCCTCGTTATCATAGACACTGAGAACCTGAAGAGTTTGGTCTGTACACCTATGCCCTGGCGTATACTTCTCATCACACCTGAAACATAACCCCTTTGCCCTCTTCTCCTGTATCTACTTCTTTGTCAGCCTCTTGAAGTTTTTCTCACTACGTCCACCGTCTTCTCCTTGGTGGTCTCACGAAACCCTCATGTTGTCGTCCCCTTGGGTGCTAAATGAGTAGTCATCATCCAATATGTGCCTCCTTAATTGTTGCTCATAGCTCCCCTCTCTAGGTTCTTCTAATTTTCCACTAGTTGTGTCAACTTCATGGCCTCTTCCAAGTCACAAGGCATCATGACATTCACCGCTACTCCGATGTCTGCCTTGAGTCCCTTCATAAAATTCCCCTCCAAAGCAGACTCTGATAATTGTCCCACCCGACTGGCCAGATACTCGAACTGCTCCCGGTAGTCTGCCACTGATCCGTCAAGTGCCAGTGCAAATAACTGCTCATAGAAGTCTCCTCCCCCGTCGATTTGAAAACGTTCTAATAAACAGACTTTGAACGCTCTCCAGCTCCGTATAGGCCTCCTTTGGTCCCTCCATTAGTACCATGATAATGCCTTCCCATCCAAACATAGACCTGCAGTTGCCAATTTCTCCTCATCCGTCAATTTATTGACGGCAAAATACATCTCCACCTTATAGATCCACCCAAAGGCATCCTCTCATTCAAATATTGACATCGTCAACTTTCTCACCTTCGGATCTCCCCCGTTTCCCCATATTCCGCCATTGTTTCCTTTTTCCCAAGTGTTTTGTTCCCACCATGTCTCCCAGCCTTCCCTTACACATTCATCTTCAAACCACTCCTTCCATAGTTTCCCTCTTTTCTCTCCCAACTAGCCGCCCTTTCTCCATGTTCCCTATTCCCACACCTCTCTCCATACCCCCCTTTTTCCTCAATTTCTCCATTGGCTTCCCTCCTACGAACATCAGAATTTGTAGTTCCTCCCACTAGTCCCTTTGCCTTTGATGCCGCCATTTAAATTTGATTCTCGAAGATCTTCATCATCAGATCAAGATCGAAAACTTTGTCTTCCATCGACGAAACCTTACCTTCCACGGATGAGAGTCGATCTTCCATCGTGGCTTTGCTTTGGCTCATCTCTCCTTTGAAACATTCCTCCAATGCATCAACTTTCTTAGCCGTCATAACAAAAAATCTGGATATTAGATCCAAATTTCAGCAAGATCTCTCCTTCAGATCAGAATTCCTCCAAAAAATTTAGCCCACAATGATCCAGGAATTGCTTGAATACCAATTTGATGGGAAATACTTGAGTTTGCAAGTAATCCAGGAGGAAATACTTGAGTTTGCAAGCAAACCTAGCCATCATTCGTTAAAACCGCGAAAATAACACAAATAGCTGGGTAAAATCAACCGAAAAATGATAGATTGCAATAGTGGAATCAAAACAAAACAAACACAAAGCAAGATACAATTGACCCTCAATTTGAGAGGATGATCGTTCTCTCCCAATGTCTAGAAGATAAGTATAGAGCCCAAGACGCCGAGGAACTCCAAGAGAATAACTCAAAACATGCATGCCCTACCCCTAGCCTCTCATGTTCTTTAAATACAATTCTTCCTAATAAAAAGCTTCCAAACATAAACCAAATTCAAATTTACTTCTTTAAGCATTAGCCACCCCTTCCTCTTTATAATTGCCGCCCAATGGGGGGCCCACCATGCTTAGGTGGAACATTAAGGAGGCGGCTTAGCCTGCCTCCTATAAAACTGAACCAGCCCCTCTTGGGCCGGTTTGGTTGGTTCAGTTCTAGGGATAACCATAACAGGTGAGTGAAAGCAGAAGTGGTGTTAGTGAACTCTCAGGTGCTAGGCAAAAAAAGAAGGCATAGAAAATGTAGTGTTGCTTTGTGGGTACTTGGGTACTGCGAGTGTAAAGGGGAGAAACGAGAACCAAGGCTAGTTGGTGAGTGGGTGGTCATCATGTAAGGGTTTGTGGGGTGCATGGGCATAAAGTCTCGTGTGTGTTGGGCCCTATTGGAGCAAGAAGGAGAAGTGCTTGGAGCAAAAGGAGAAGGCACTAGAGCAGGGGAGGTAGTGGGACATCACGATGAAGTATTATTGGAGCACAACGGGAGAGAAGACATGGGGGTTTGTGTGTGAGTGAGAGAGAGGTGTACGAAGCCAGCACATGCAAAAGATGTCAGAGATAAAGGGCACGAGAGAGACCAACATGTGCGTGAGATGCGAAAAAAAATAATAAGGGGGAAGCTATGTGCAATCATCTAACAAGGCGATTGCAGATAAGATGAACTGCCTGAAAGCTCTAAGGTGTCCATGCTTAGTAGATTTGTGAAAGCTGTAACATCATTACGAGAGTGAGAGATTGTGTATAGCACAGAGTCTACTTATGTTTTTCTTTTTCTCTTTCTTTTGCTTCTTTTTTTTTTTCAAGCAAACAATCGTCAAATGCAAGTATTAGCTTTTGTATTATCGCTTACGTGATAAATTAGAGATAGAAAATAAATCAAATTGAGTGCCAAATTTTATGAAATAGAAAATGTAAAACCTTTTCAAAGAAAAAGGTATTGAAGAAATGGCATTTCAAAAACTTTTCAGGTTCTCTTCTTTCCCTCTCCTTCAATAGCTCCAGGTAAAGGTTAATGACCTATCAGAACAAACAAAACATTTTATTAAGAAAAGGCTGTGTAAAACTTCTTTGGCATTATTCGCATATTTAAAAGCAGAAATTGAAAACAATAATAAATTGAATAAAAATGCGTACCTCATCATTCAACCAAGCACCAGGTCTCAAGCATTGCAAATCCCCCCAAGAAATCACAATATTTGAGGGTTCATGTCTGACTAAAATTTCATGGCTGCAGTGAGGACAGTCGGGCACCACAAAAAACTAAATAAATACTCTTGCATCTATAAGCGACTATAAGCAGCAGGATAATGGCATATATCATTTAAGCAACCACACCTATTGCAACAATGGAAGGCATGAAATACCTCTTCATCATCTTCATATTTAAGAGAATGAAAAAGCTCCTTACGATCCTGGAGAATGTTGTACATTCATGCAGTCATTATAAGTGATGGTTATAGAAGAAGCACTAACGTTATATTGCTGCTACAGCTCTTCATCCTAACTCTACATCTCAATAATATGCAACAACACTTGCTTCATGATGTTTCTAAACGAGAAGACTACCACAGGAACATTATTAGCATTACTATCTGAGGTTAGCATGATTGCAATACAATTTACAATAGCAAGTTTCTGATAATTGAGGAAGGGATTAACAGAATATGATTAGCAATACTATTCTAAATTCTAAATGCAGTAAGAGAAATTATTTTGTGCGGAGACCGGACGACGAGAATCATCCGGATTTGATGCGCTTTTACTGAGTATTTGCTGCGCTTTTGAAAATACTCAGTAAAAGTGTTGGGTACTTCAGCAAATGAATATTTTTTGAGTATTTGTTGAGTAAGTGCAGCGTTTTTACTGAATATTTGATGAACTTTTACTGACTATTTACTAAATAATTGAATTTCTGTTGCGCTTTTACTGAGTATTTGGGAAAGCGCAGCAAATACTCATAAAAAATGCACTCATAATTGAATATTTGCTGCACTTTTATTAAGTATTTACAAAAGCACAACAAATACTCAGTAAAAGCTGATTTGGAAGATCTCGTTTGATCATTCTTTGGTCAACGCTAATATGCGTGGCGTACTTCTATTCGTTCACCACACATATTGGGGGTCCTTTTATTGACGTTTATTTTCGTGTCGACCCGACCCCGATCAAGCCCGACTAGGCTCGATCATGCTCGATCGACCCAATTGACCGTCGTCGAGGCAAAATCGGCTCAAATTGGACCCCGATTTGATTAAGTTAAATTTATTTTAGTCAAATTCAATCGAATTTAATTTAATTAAAATCAAATCAATTTAAATCATATTCCATCGAGCGTTGTCGAGCCCAATTCAGCACAATTCGACGCCGATTCAAGCTTAATTTTGCAAAATTAACTTGATCATACCCACTCGGACCCAAACCGACCCAAATCAGTTTGAGTCAAGTTCAATTCGGACTCAATTTCAGCCCTAATTTGTCAATTTGGGCTGAATTTGATGCTCAATCTGAAATTGAAATCAAGGGCTCAGATTTCATCTGATATCCCATTCAATTTCATGATAAAATCCCTCACGCGTGAGATGCCCTAGGGAGTCCATTTAGGCGGCGGCTTTCTACCGCTCGTGCTCTCCAAGAGCACGCAAAGAAGGAGAAAGGGGGAGCATTCGGCTCCCCCGTTTTGTTCCGTCCCGACCCAGCGGAACCGAGAGCACGAGAGAAGGGGAAGAGGCGGAGGCGAAGCCCTCTTCCGCGTGCGATCAGCTAGGGGCGACGGCGACTGAGCTGTGGGAGGTTTCCCTTCCCACGTACGCGTGCTGAAGGCCGATCGGATTGGACCCGGTGGAGTGGGAGTTGCCTTGCACCTTCTTCTTCATAGTAAAAGGGTTTGGGAGCTTGAGACCTGCTGTCTTCTCCCTTTTCTTACACTCAAGGGGGATTTAGGAGTATCTTCTCCCTCTGATTTCAGTTCCGACAATTTTGTAACAGTGAAAGGGGCTGTTGTAGAGCTTTTATATTACATATAAGGGAAATAGAAGACCTACTCTTTCTCTCAAATCATTTCCAGTGAGCTTGAGACAACGGAGGTGACTTCCGGAAGCCTTCAAACGCTGAAGACAGCTGTTTGCTGTACCTCGGGCAGCACATTTGTCTTCCGGAAGAACTTGGACAGGATTTGGTTGGACAGCAACTATGCAGCCTCCGAAGGCTTCAAACAGTGAAAACTGTTGTTTGGAGAGTTTGGACAGCAAGCAATCACCTCCGGGAGCATCCAAACAGCGAGAATTGCTGTCCGGAGCAGTTTGGACAGCAAATTCCTCCTCCGGAGCAGCTCGGACAGCAGCCTTCTTCCTTGGGAAAGTCTTGGACAGCAGTTTGGAGCTTTCAAAGGAGCTTAGACAGCGTTTGGAGCTTGGATTGGAGCGCTAGGACAACCCGGGTGAGGTAAAACACTAAAACTTAGTGAAACCTAGGGTCCCCCAAGGCCAGACGTGTGAGATTGACGTCCGTCCCAAGCCATAGGTCCCTTAGGAAAACTTCATTTGTTGTTCCCCAAATCCATGTGAGCTGCCCTTCTCCGCTTTAAAACAGCGGAAATCCGATGATTTCCGTTTGTTTGCTCTCTTGTGAGAGCCAAAGAGGCATGCCGATACGCGTAGGGTCGTTGGATTGCTATCCAACGCCCTCTAAATGCATGAAATAGCATCATGTTGCTTTCCAACGCCTTCACTTACAACTAAACCATAGGATATGTGATTACATTTGATTCAAAATTGAATGTCGAGGTGTAGAATTCTTCTCTAAATGTGGCATAGTTGTTTGTCTTCTAGATTCGCACGTTATGACAAAATTAATGAATGCGTGTATAAGGTTTATATTGCTATGCTACTTTTGGTTTTCCCCAAATTTATTGGATGTTCAAATGTGCATTTCAATTACTTCAAGAAGTGGTGGGGTCTTTCATGAACATCTATGATTTATGTTTTAAATCCCATAACAAAATGATTAATTGAAATCACCTTTGAAATCTCTCCGAATTTGGAGAGCCAAATCAAGTAAATTTTCAAATTAAATGCACTCATTCCTAGGTTTCCTTAGACCATAGCAAAATGATCTTTAGGACCTATCCATGAGCATTCAAGTGGTTGTTTACTTGCATGCCTCTAGATTTTGTTAGATAACACCAAAGGTTGTCTTCCAAACCTCCTTCGAAAACATTTTTTATGTCATTCTCCCACTGCTTTGCCCTTTCCTCAGGTGTGCTTTTGGGAACTTTAGTTAAAGGTTTTGGAGGTGATGCAATTATTTTCTCAACATCTTCTTCACTCCTAAACACAGAAAGAGGGTGAAATTCACTACCCTCAGCAAGAGGAGAGAGCTCCATCATCTCAGCCTCTAACTCACCTTGCTCCTCCTTTTCCAACCTCTTTCTAAGTCTTTTGTTTTTATTTCTTCTTTGAGACTTGGTTAGAACATAGGTGGAACTAGTCCCTTCTTTATATTGACTGGACTGAAATAGTTTCTCATGCTCTAAGTGGCTTGGGACAACAGCTAAAGACTGAACTGTCTCACACTATCTCTCAACTGCCATTTGCTCAGGTAACACTGGAGTCAAGATTGTTTGCCTTTCACTAGACTTTTGAACCTTAGGGAAGGTCAACCTACCAAATGCAGAAGGTTGAGAGGCTAAGGCTTTTGGAGAGACCTCAGCCACCCTCTTCCTACTGTTTTGAAGAGGTGACCTCTCCCTAACAGGCAAGCTGACTTCAAGGACCTTCTCAGATGGGTGTTGACCTTCTAAGACTTTCACTTCAGAAGGGATTGTGCCTTGGAAAAGGACCTCTACATCTTCAAAATCTTGTCCAAATTTTATCAAATCCCTTGGAGCAAATTGAGACTGATCAAAAGACAACTGCAGGTGATTACCAAACTTGAAAACCAATTTGCCTTCCATCTCAGTTTTCTTGAATTCTCAAACTTTAAACTTTTCTTGAAAATCAGAATTTTCTGTATCAACCTTTCTGTTGTACCTTCTTGAATTCAATTATCATAACATCAATCAATCACTGTACTTTTTGTTGGGTTTTCTGACCACTGACTTGAATCACTGACCACCCACAACTGTGTCCTGGATTTAACGGATGATATATGAATTTGTTTGAATTGGATCCCACACAATTTGACATTGTTTGATTGTAGATTTCATACAACCACAACAATTATGGTGAAGAGAAAAGATTTTGGAATTGGATATTTGAGAATGGGAATTTTTTTTTTTGAAAATGATTAATTTTGAAAACCAAAGTTCATCTTTCTCAATTTGAAAATGATTTGAAAAAAAATTCATCTTGATTTGCAATTTGCTAGTATTGACATCACTCAACCCAACATTTGAAGATGGGAGAGGCATACAACACAAATTTTGATTTTGCAAATGCTCTTTAGCCAACATTTAAAATGACTAAATGAAAACCACTAGTTAAGATGAAAAGAGACATCCTCCCCAACGGAGTCGCCAGAAAATCTATTTGAGAATTTTTGTATCCCCAAACGGATTGCATACTTTATCATCGAGTACGGCATAAGAACTTGACATATTACCCCGAAGGGTAAAAATATCATTTCCTTATGAACTCAATAATAAAATTTACAATTATAACAGAGATTCCCCCACTCGATGTTTGGTCGAACGGGGTTTATTTATTTCTGGGGTACAGACATCCCATAGGGGCAAGCCCCTATGGTTAATTACATCCCAAGTTTTAGTGCTTGAAAAAACTTTTGATTAAACTAGTGGTTTTACTTGTTTTGAAGTCATTTAAATGTTGGCTAAAATTTGATTTTTGAAATCCATGAAAGTCTTGCTTAAAGGTTTTGGCCCTTTAGGAATTTCAAGGAGGAATTGATCAACTAAGGATTAGATTTTAGGAATGAAAGCCAAAGGAGATGAAATAGGGGCACTTGATTCTGAGAGGAAACTCATAGGTGCTCAAACTATCATATGTTGGGCTTTACATTTTTGGAATCTAATTTTGGTTTAAGTTGACATTTTTATTAGAATGTTGGGGCTTACATTCCAACAACACATGTTGTAG